GATTGTTTTCCTCAGGCTGCTTTCAAAATTCTTTTCTTACAAGTGAACCACTTCTTAGTTGCCTGTCTTTGCTCTTATTAAAAACAACTTACAAATGTTTAGTTTTTTAAATCTGATTATTAAAATGTTTATGAAGTTAAAAACAAGACAAAACAAACAAACAAAACTCAAAATTCTTTTCTTTTTCCTTAGTTTTAGTAGTTTGGTTATGATAATTCCCAGCCTTATCTTGTTTGGCAACTGAGCATTTTGAATCGGTAACTATGTCTTTCACCAAATATAGGGAGTTTTTAACCATTATTTCTTACAAAAATGTTCTCTAATTACATTCTTTCCTCCTTCCATGACAGGAATGTTAGATTCTTAGTGTTGTACCACAGTGTCCTGAGGACCTGTTTATTTATTTTTTGAACCTATTTCCTTTCTGTTGTCCAGACTGGGTGACTTACGTCAATTTTTCTTCAGGTTCTGACTCCTGTCATTTATTTACATTGTTATTGAGTCCATCGATGTATTGAGTCTGCTAGTCAATACAATTCTGCCATTTTGTTTATTATATATTTCACACTTGTAGAATTTTAGTTTGGCTCTGTGCGTGGTTCATCGGTCCCTCTGCTGAGATGATCTTTCTGTTTATCATGAGGGTGTTTGCCCTTACTTTTTGGAGCATGACTTTAACAGCTACTTTTGTCTCAATTCCAACAGTTCTATCCTGTTGGAGTTGCTATCTCTTGATTTTCTTTTTGTCTTTTCCCTTTAGAGATGTTGAGATTTTCCTGCCTCTCCAAAGATCAAGTAACTTTGGCTTGTATTGTGGCCTTGATGAATACTGTGTCATGGGACATGATTGTTGTTTAAATCCTGTTTTGAATGTTGATTTTTCATTTGCGTTAGAAGCTGGTCAGCTTGGTGGGGCCCAGGTTGCAAGTTTGTCTCTGCCCTCTCTGAGCTGTGGCTCCAAGCTCACTTCCATATGGAAGGCTTTGCAGTGCTGTTTTGGTCTATTCCGTTCTGGGCCCCAATAGCTCAATTCTGAGATCCTCTGGCATCTGGTATAGGGTCAGCTCAGATGATGACATAAGGAGAAGGTGGAGTGGCCTTCTCTACTGAGCAGAGCCGAAACCACACACCAGCTTGTAGTTCTCAGCAAGTGCTTAATCATTACCTAGTATTTATCTTGTTGTCTATTCATTTGCCTGTTGTCTGTCTCCCATCTGTGCCCCTCCCTAGAATGTAAGCTTCAGGGGAGTGGCAGCTTTGCCTGTGGGGGACATGGCCATCACCACCAAGCGCGCTCCACAGAGGCCTGGAGAGACTGAATCCCCTCTCAGTCATGAAGGCTCTGGAGACAACTACTTGCCTCTTTTTCTGGACTTCTCTTCTTCAAACTCTCTCCCCACCCACACATAGCTTTACACAGTACTCAGAAGCAGCTTCCACGTCACTTGGCACCTAAGGGTCAAGCCTGAAGAAAGCCAGAGATACCTGGGGGAAGACCAGACAGCTGTGTCCATTACAAACCCTTCCATAGTGAGTGTTAGAAAGACCCTCTCCAACAGGCTGGGTCAGGGAGGGATTTATTACCCCAGGTAAGTGAGGAGTCCAAAGGTAATGCTGGCTGTGGGTGAGACTCCATCCACTGACTCGAAAGTGCTTCCAAGGTGGGGGAAGTTATAGGGAGAGAAGGACACGAAGAGGGCACCAGGAGTTCCAGATGCCCACGCCCATGGCTCCCTGCTGAGAAGCAGAGCATTGTCCTCCTCTCAGTGTCCCACTGGCTCAGGCCTGCTACTTCCAACACAGATTGCAGCTGCTGTCTCACAAATCAAAGTCACCGACCCTCAAATGGGGTAGGCAAGTGAGGGAGGACAGACTCGGGGGAAGGCTGGGGTACCGTGGGGTTTGTGGCATCTGTGACAGCTAGGGTGGGTGCAGTGCACTGGGGGGTTAAAGGACAGCTGCTAGGAAAGACAAAGGACTCTGTGGATGCAGAGCTCAGAAAGCAGGAACTGTGTGTGTGTGTTCCCCCATATGGGCTTTTGTGAAAGGACAAAGGTCTGCCAAGTTAATTCTTGTTGGAAAAGTCAGACCCAAAGCAGCAGGTTAAGGTCCAGCCTGCTTTTGAGAGCACAAGGAGTGGGCTGACAGGGAGATAGCTCCCAGAGTCCTGGGGCAGCTTAGCCCTTTAATGACTTCCAGGTTGAATTGCTGCCCACAGCCCAGCACATGTTCACTGCCAGTCATCACTGAGTTAGATATCTGACACCACCATTGCCTACCTGTGCAACTGTCCAGCCCCACACTCACCCTTTCCTCGGTCCTGTTCCCACTACCCCCCAAATCCATCTGGGTTCTGGGGGGACAGGGTCACCAAGTCCCTGTGTTCCTGGGTTTCCGAGGGTGGATGTGGGGCTCCAAGGATTCACCTAAAACTGTATCTGAATTCAGCGGTCCCCAAGGTCAGTGGAATCTGCAGAGGATGAGTATGGATAGGAAGGACACCAGCACATTCCCTTGCTGTGCTGCCACAAGACCACTAACTTCCTGGGCCACGGCACTGTTGGAACTTGAACTGGATGACAAGACACAGAAATGAGGGGCTGGGGATTTAGCTCAGTGGTTCTGCCGTTTGCCTCGAAAGCACAAGGACCAGAGTCTGATCCCCGGTACCAAAAATAAAAAAAAAAAACACAAAAAAACCCAAAACAAGACATAGAGATGGGGTCTTCTAGTCATCTGACTGTCCTTGCTGCAAAGTGACAAAGCCCTCTGCTGGCAGATGACACCTCTGGCTCCTTTGTTAAATAGAAGAGCTTCCCAGCTGCTACCACAGTGAAAGGCTGAGCTGCTGTCCTTGTGCATGGTGTCCCTGATTGCACTGGTGCAATGCAGGCCGTTCTGGCCTCACACACGAGACCACCAAATCACCAGATCACAGAACCTGAGATCATCCTGCTCTCAGCCCTCAGCCCCAGCATCCATCCTGAGCACCAGGCACGGGAACTGTGAGGGATTTTGCCTCCAGCACTCAACTGGTGCCAAGAGGTCGGGAGGCTGGGAAGGAACTGGCCCTGTCCCACCCCTTCCCATGGTGTGAGTGGGGTGTCCCAGCCTCAGGGTGGGCCTCAGCGACAGTCACTGCAGGTGTGTTACCCCACTGCCGTCTGCCTGACCTGCTCTCAGGATCAGCTCAGAGTGTAGCTCAGCCTGGTTCGACACAGAAGTGCCAGGACTGGTTTCTAGGATGTGTTTTGGCTCCTTGACAACCTCTTCCTGTTTTGGAAGCTAAAGAGTAGAATTTACAAAGTCAGAGAGGTTTTGTTGAAAAAAAAAAAATCCCTCCAAGATTCCACTGGCTGAAGAGAAGGTGGTCACTCAATGGCAGAGACATTTGTCTCCTCGACTCAGACTAAATGGCTGTGTCCTTCACTATCCAGCCGCAGTGACACTGAAGCTGTTTTCTCTCTTGTCCTTGTACTTTTCTCATGTGTCAGAAACTGTGAAGTTGCCCATGTGCATTATACTCTCAGATCAGCACGGAAGTCTGGAAACGTCCTCAAGCCAGTTCTTCCTCCCTGACCTCCATCCTGGGAAAGGAATCCTCCAGCATTGTCAATGGTTAAAAACAAAAAGGTGGAACTTAGGAAATGAAGGTTCTGGAGAGAAATGAGTCACAATGGGGAGTGGTGTGGCTTCCTGTTTCTCCAAAACAGGACTTTAGGGATGAAGAGGAGGCAACTCGGCCACAGTGCAGGAACAAGTCCCTGGACACCGCTCACCACCTTGTGCAAAAGGCAGCTTCCTCTGTGGAAAGCATAGTCCCGGGGGCAGGGAGGTGTCATATAGAGGTGTCCCAGGGTGCCACGTGGTGATGGTAAAGATCTTGGGCACTCAGCGCCTCATCTGTCACTGAGGGCACATGGGAAGGCATGGGGGGATTCCCAAAGCTGGCTCTTGGGGACATAGTGAAGTCTCTTTTCCAAGGCCAGCTGTGGCTGTGCTACTATGCTAATTTCTGAAATTAAGGACCGCTATGGTTTGGGTAGAATGTGTCCCCAAATCTCCTGTGTTGGAAGCTTGGTCCCCCGTGGGGCCTCAGGGCAGCTGGTTGGGTCTTGGGCGTGCTGGCCTCCCAGGGACTAAGGTGGATCCTGTGGGGTAGCTCTCGGCAGGGCAGAGCGAGTGGTGTTAAGAGCCCTCCTTTCTCTGTGGCATGGTGCTACCTTGTGTATGAACTCAGCCACCGGGGGGCCAGCACTTGAGGGCCTCACCAGAGCCCAGCGGATACGGGTGCCACACCCGAAGCTCCAAAGCTGTGAAGTAAATCTTTTTTCTCCATAAGTTACCCCATTTAGGTATTTTGTCATAGTGGTGGAAAACGGACTAACACAAGGACCAAGTTTAGGTTAAGGGTTAAGATGTAGCCCAGAAGTTTTACAATTTGACAGATTTAGGTTAAACCCTTTCCAAACCAGTCATACTTTTCTTCAAACAGCTTAAATTTTATTTGCACATGTAGTCCTTACATGTTTGGATCTCATCAGTAGAAAATTACACCTGTCTTTACTCAGTGTGTCAGCTGTGCTACCCACTACCTCTGATCTTGGGCAAATGATCTAATGTGCCAGCCTGTGTTTTCAGCAGTAATACAGAGAGAACCAGTCATCTTCCTTCTACAGCAGTGGTGAGGACCACTGAGCTAGCCAGAATAATGCCAGACACAAGGTGGACTGGCACTCAATTAATGCCAGCTGGTACTACTAAGCGTCAGCTGCTACTATTAATTATCAACAGGGCTGAGACATTCTGCCAGCAGCCACAGGTTTGTTCAAAATGGAGCAAAAACTGATTAGCTCATCTCTGTACTCCAGAAGGGCGAGTTAATGCCACTCTCCAATGACTTCAGGTTTTTTTTTCTTTTGATAGATAACACATTATATTGATTTTAAAAGGCAAAAGTGGTTAATTAGGGGTAAATCATATTCAAATATCAGACTGAATCAAGTGATTAACAAATGAGAAGATAAATTTTATTAGCAGACCTTATAAATTTATATATTCTGGATATGAAATTCTTATCAGATATATGATTTGGAAATACCTTTTACCTTGTGGATTGTTATTTCACTTTTCTGAATAATCATAAATTTAGCTTTTGATAAGATCTTGCTTTTATAGAAATCTATACTATCAACTTAAAACTTAGTTGGTTTTTTAAAAAATGTCTTCAAATTAAGATATAACAGTATTCTTTATTAAATTTATTTTATTTTTAAAAAACATTTATATTATTGGATAAATGTTTTTTAAAAAATATAACCTGTACCAAAAAAAAAAGCAGGCTCTCAATCAGGATGGGTCAGTTACTTCGGGTTCAGTCACTTGGTTTGCATCCCCCAGTAGGTCACCAGAGCTGTGGACACTGAGGGGCAGGCTGCTCCCCTTAGCTGGCCCTCTTCCTTCCCACATCCAGGAAGTCGTAGGCCTGCTCCAAGAGGTCGAAAGGCTTGTGGACCCCATCCTGCGACAGCAGAGCCTGAAGGGCACCCTCATTCTCATGGGTTTGCTTGAGGAAGTCAGCGATGATTTTCCACCGTGCAGCCTCGGTCTCCTCTTCGGCCCACTTGAAGGGGGGCAGGAGAGTGGAGTGCAGCAGCGGGAGCACGCAGTCATGGTAGACCAGGAGGAAGCTGGCCTTCAGGAGCTCCCTGTCTCTCTGTGGAAACACCGCCACCACAAGGAACCATGAGCAGACCACAGCGTTATGCGTAAAGTAAGAGATTCTGGTCTCTGTTAGCTAGGGTGTTGTTGGGGGTGCCCTTCTGCCTGGAAGCTGGAGAGTCCCCAGAGACAGTCTCCAAGTGTCTCCCTGAATATCACACAGTCAGGAGACCACAGGCTGCAGTCTAGCTCTGGTGACAAAGGGGTGGTTCCACTAAGATGCAGCACAGGGTCAGCTGTGGCTACTTAGCCAGATTACAATGCAGCAGAGACAATTGTCAGGGTACTGTAAGGGGGACAGATGTTCACATGGGAACAGAGAAAGAAGGCCCAGGCAGTAGGAGCTGGTGGTAGATTTCCAGCAATGGGTCAGGGCGCAGGGTCCTCTGGACCTGAGGACACCTAACCCTCCCCAGATAACAGAAGTGGAGCCATGTTGACAGGATCCACTGGCCCTGATGCCAAGAGGCCATGGTGGGGTCACAGAGGAGGGCACAACAGCTGGAGGGCACAACAGCTGGAGGGCAGAGCAACCTGTGTGCAGCAGTCGCCACACAGGCATTGCCCGACCACACCAGTGTGCGGCCCCGCTGCACTGGAGCCTGCCCTTTTAGCAAAGGTTGTTGCCAATTTTGGCAAAGGCCACATATCCACTGGAAGCTCAAATAAGGATGCAATGTATATAAATAAGTATATAATATCTATAGCCCCCACCCAGTTGTTAGTTATCAGTTTGTTTGTTCTCCTACAACCCTTATAGATAATCAACACTTTAGACCAGGAATTGGCAGACTGTGGACCATGGGAAATGTGGTTGCTGCCTCTCTGTGTACACAAAGCTTTAGAGAGACACAGCCACTCTGGCTGCCGGCATCATGACAGTAGAGGAGAGCAGTGTGGCAGAGACGTATGGCTGAAGAGTAAAGTATTTACTTCTTGGCCCTTTACAGAAGTCGTCTGCTAATCTCAGATGAGAGCAGTCAAATTGCTACTCACAGATCCATGTGACTCCTATGGTAATCACCATCTTTTTGAGCAACACAAAGGGAACCAGGCATTTGTCCAATATATGATACAGCCCAGGCCAACCTCATTTTTCCTTCTCCTTACATGATGTAGGTTTTGGGAACTGGAGGCAATTTCTTTTAAATAAGGGATATGTAATAGCCCACTGGGAGACTCTGATTTAGACACTTCCCCTCCATTTAAGTAAACCTCAGTGATCTGAAACGAGTGGATGATCAAGGGTTCCTTTCCACACTAAGAAAGGATCATGAATACCCTTCTGAGAATGTGTCTTTGGAACCAAAATAACACAGCTACCTGAATAAGAGGGATTATGACATTTTAGCTATTTTAGATAAGTGTGCAAGTAATCACAGCACCGCAAATACAATTTTCCAGTGTGAAAAATAGTATTACCTTCTCTGATCTTTTCAGTGTGCTTTCTTTCTCAGCCCACGAACTCTACAAAAGCCAAGAGAAATATTATATTAGTATGAGTATTCATGAATCCTTGCAACACTTCTGTAACAAATTTATGGGTTGGGTCAGAAATGCTGCTTAGAATCCACACATGCCAGAAGCAACTCTGTAATTAGGCACCTACTGCTAAGAGCTCAGAACAAGACTGACTGGACAGATCTGTGAAAGATACCATAGAACCCCCCGCCCCCTTTTTGAGACAGGGTCTTGTTATGTAGTTTAGGCTGGCCTTGAACTCACATGTAGCCCTGGCTGGGGTCAAACACATGGTGATCCTCCTGCTTCAGCCTCTCAAGTACTGGGACTACAGGCATGAGCCACTGTGCCCATTTTAAATTTAAGTCAGAACTAATTTTCAAAAAAATGCCTATAATCCCGGTACTCTGGAAAGCTGAGGCAGAAGGGGGATAGCAAGGTCAAGCCCAGCATGGGCAACTTAATGACTTAGCAAGGCTCTGTCTCAAAATTTAAAATAAATTAAATAAATAAAGAGGGCTGGGGATGTAGCTCAGTGAGAAGGCCCTGGGTTCAATCCCCAGTACTTGATTGGGAAAAATAAAAAATGAAAAAGAAGAGAACCAGTGAACACATCCTTGCCAACTGCACAGACACAGTGTGGAAAATAAAATAGTATTAGGCTGAGTATAAAAAACCACATCTTGGGCCAGGGATTTAGCTCAGTGGTTTCGCCACCTGATGCACAAGTGCAAGGACCTGAGTTCGATCCGTGGTACCAAAACCAAAACCCAAAAAACCACATCTTTATTCACTCATCGGTTGACAGGCATTTGGGTTGTTTCCAAGACTGGATGTGCATATATCTATATGGTATGATGCTATTAATTCTTTTGGGAAGGTATCAAGAAGGGGAATAGCTGGGTCAAATGGAACCTCTAGTCCTAGTTTTTTGAGGAATCTCCACACCGATTTCCATAGTGGTTGCACCAGTCTACACTTCCACCAACAGTGGAGAAGGGTTCCTTTTTTCCCACAGCCCCACCAGCATTTGTTATTGGGTGATTTAAAGGATAAACTTGAGACATTTATAGCTAAATGGATGTATCTAGAGGGCCATACTCTTAAGAGAAATAAATCAGACACATGTGTAAATATCATATTGTTTCTCTCATGTGAAAAACTGAAAGTGTAAATAAGGACCAAAATTTGTATTACAGATATTGTGAAATAGGAAGAAAATGTTCAAATGGCAAGGGGCAAAAGGGAGGAAGGAGAGGGAAAGGAAGGAAGACAAAAGAAAAAAAAGAGAAAAGAAAGATAAAAGGGAAACAAAGCTCTTATAAATAAGGGAAAGAGGGGTTGAAAGGAGGAAAGGGGAATGGGAAAAAAATAAGAATCAAGATATATCACGTACAGGTACAAATTCTGTAAAATGAATGTGATCATTATGTATATCTAAACTATACCAATAAACTTAATGATTAAAAAAAAGAAATAGTATTAGGTTCTAAATTAGGCTTCTCAGGTAATACAGAAATGAAAAGAGACAACACTGCCAAATACACTACTTTCCAAACAATTCTGCCTGCCTTGATAATAATAACGGGTGGGGTCAGATAGACTGAAGTAGTTTTGCAAGTAACTTATTTCCAATCTGTCCATGAGGCATCACAAAAGGTTCTTGAGCTGGGGATTTAGCTCAGTGGTTCTGTTGCCTGCCTTGTAAGAGCAAGGTCCCAAGTTTGATCCCTGTTACCAAAAAATAAACAAACAAACAAATAAACAAACAAAAGCTTCTTGAAAGAAATGAAACCCCAGAGTTGAGTAGATCCTGTAGAAACAGGAACTGAAGACCTTCCCACAGCAGCTCCAGGAAGACTGAGGCCTGGATGTAATATGCCCAGTCTTGGGCTGGGGGGCCAGAGCCTGGCTTGTGTTTGTGTCTGTGGGACTCTTCCTGTTATAGGCACCTGATTCCCTGGGTAGCCTGAAAGCACAGAGCCAAACAAGAGATTCTTTATGAAATGAAGCGGGCACCAAGGGGTGTCTCTCACCAGGGGATGACAAGAGGTCTCAGAACATTCGCGGTTATTGCCACCTCATGGGATTATGGTCCCCACCCTAGTACCGCTTGCTGGAGGTGCTCAGGAGCTTAAGAGATAGTGTCTCATGAAACAGGCCAGGTGCCACAATTATTTTAAAAACACCAGCCACAAACTGAACTTAGCTAAGTACACACTAGGAGTTTCACACACTTCATGACGTAAATTTCAAAAGCTATATGGCTGTGACTTCTTGTCTGGAAAAATTTGCCTACTGTTGATAAATGTGAAGGTTCTACATTATCTTCCACTTAGTCCCCAGCAGGGTGTTCTGCATAGACTGAGGCAGTGGAGATAGAAAGCACGTGTGGCCACTACTGTGGCAAGGCCACCTCTTCCCTTCTGGAACAAACAGCCCACAGCTCGAAGCTCCCATGAAGGGAAGTGCAGTGTGAGTGCTTCTGGCCAATGGAATGTGGTAAGTGGCCCAAGCCCCTTAGGGCAAGGGCAGCAGAAACCACAACAACAGCCCTGCGCTCTTTTCCTGCAGCTGCTCATTGCCCAGGGTGCTATGAGACTGTGGGGTGTCCACCAACCTGCAGCCTTGGGTGGCTGTGGAGCAGGTGTCCCACTGGCCCATGCTGTACGCTGCCGTGAGTAAGAAAGAGACCTGCCTTGGCCACACCAGCACCACCTAGATCACCCGAGGTCACATAGTCAGCTGGGAGGGACAAGGCTCAGGCATGAGGAATAACCACTCTTGTTATTTTCATTATTTATTATATGAGCAAAATTAAGAAAATACAGATAAAATAACCCATAATCCTGAGGTAGTCATGGATACCTTTCTGGAGTATATTCTTCTAGATCTTCTCATAGTCAAAGATCGCAAATGGTTTTTTTTTCACTTAATAAAAAGATTTGAACAACTTTATGTGTCTTCTTCTTCTACTTCTCCTTCTTTTTTTTTTTTCCAGTAGAGGGGATTGCCAGGGCTGTCACACTGAGCTACATCTCCGTCTCTTTTTTATACATTTTATTTTGAGACAGGGTCTTGCTAAGTTGCTGAGTTGCCCAGGCTGGGCTCAAACTTTCTTGAACAGCCTTGGTGTATCTGTGGCTCACAGTCACACCTCTTGCTTGGCCACTACTGAGCTCTCTGCCAGCTAGGGGCGTCTCTGCATGATCTGCTTATGGAAGAAATACAGATTTGAGACTAGCTTAGCCTTAAGGTTCCTCCTAATGGCAGCACCCAGAGTCTGTGCTGGTGCACACTTAGAGAAATACCAGGTGTGATAAAAAACATGCTGTGAAAATTACAGTAAAAGACACATTGCCATTAATATCCCTCACAATACTCCCCCTTGCTTCAAACACACTTACCCCACTATTCTTGCCTCTTTCTAAGGCAATTCTTAAGTCCTCTTTTTGTGTCTTCAGTTGCATTCTTATGGCTACCTCAATGTCTTGAATCGATTCAAAACATTTACCTTTCATGGTCATTTATTTTGACTTTAGGAAAAGAGCCAGAGATCACATAGTGCTGGATCCAGTGAAAAGGGTGGACGTTTTTACAAGCCCACCTTTCCATTGGATGGCACGCCACAGCAGCATTCACTGCACTTTTGATTACATCTCATAAAGACATGAAACAGGTCTTCCAGAATTCGTCAGAAAGTGGCAAGAGCGATGGGATGTGTTTGAAGCAACGAGGGGTATGTTCAGGGAGATTAATGGCCATGTGTCTTTCACTGTAATAAATGTTTTAAAAATGTAAACATTCACTGCATACTTTGACCACCCCTTGTATTCCCCGGAGCAGCACAGTGCCCTATCTAGTGTGGGCTCTGGTGAAATCTGTGCTGAATGAATTAATGTACTTATGTTCTGAAAAATGAATGAATATTATGATACTAATGAAAATGAATGAATATTATGATACTAATGATTTTAGAGGGTAGCCTATCTAAAATTGCAGGTGATCATAGTCTGTGAACACTTTCTTAAACCTTCCTTCTGTAAATGTCACTGTTACTATGGATGCCCCCTCCTTGGCCGAGCCAGCACAGAAGTCTGTTTCAAAGTCTAATATAAATCTTTGTGGACAACTGGGTCCTTCCATTTTTGTCAGGCCCATCCAACCTCCCTCTCAGCAGCAGGAGTCACCCCTAACACAGCTACCTGCCTCCTCACACTGCTCTGCACTGCAGAGGGGTCAGCCTGCAGCAGAGACCTTCCAGGTCACCTGCTAGCTACCCCACCTGCTCATGGACCTCTACATGAAGACCACAAGCTGGGCCACCCACTGTGCCAAACTGGACTGGATCATCTGCTGTCCCACCAGAGCTCTTGATTCCTTCCTGCCTCAGACTATCTGCTCCTGCCGATTGCCCACCTGAATCCTCTGGGGCCCTGGCCCTTTACATCTTCTCTAATGAAGCAGGGCCCTGACCCACATTCACTGCCTTCTTTAAATCTTCAAGGTCCCGCACAATACTTCCCCATAGCACTGTCATGTTACCTATGTGCAGGCCTCGCATGAACACAGGGCTGCTAGTATTTCTTAACCCTGATATATTAGGTTGAGCCACAGGAAACAGTTAAATGTGGCTGAAAACTAGAGTTTTCATATGGTTCCACCTAATATCCCCCTGCTATTTCCGACAGCAGACAATACATGTCAAATTAAAAATGGGGCCGGGGATTTAGCTCAGTGGTTATGGTGCCTGCCTTGCAAGTGCAAGGTCCTGAGTTCGATCCCCGGTACAAAACCGGTACAAAAAAGAAAAAGAAAAAAGAAAGAAAGAAACAAACAAACAAAAAACGATACGCATGTCCTAGCACTTTCCTGAAAACTCAATTGATTCATCTACCACAGCCTTCCGAATTTTTGCTCTTAGGACACTGTCGGGGCCATCTTAAGTCAAGGAGCAAACAGGCAAGAGAGCACAATGGTACACACAGCAGGGGTTCCAGCTTCACCTGCTTCTTGGGTCGGGGAAGGGAGCCCTTGGGAAGTGACATTTGTGCCAAGATCAGAAGACTGAGGCAGAATTAGCTAGACAGTGGAAGGGACCGGGAGACATAATCCTACGACAGTAGGAAATCAGCCTAGAGTAGGTGCCAGGACTCCTTAACATGGTGTGTTCAGCCATTTTCAGCTCCCAACCCACATCCAACACAGTGCGTGCTACTCACCCGCAGAGCATCCATCACCTCGGGCTGCTCGAAGAGCTTGGGGAAGGAGGCTAGCATCGGGTGACTGATTAGATCTGAAATGCACAAGAGGAGAACTTTATGCAACTTCATTTAAGGTAACTTACTGCACTAGATATACAAATATTCATTCGAGTTAAAATTACCATGCCAAATGATTTCTTGATAACACCTTCTATACACTTTAACCTCCAGGAAGCTCAAAGGTATCTCAACCTCTGCTGATCCCTACACCTTCTCCCAGGTGTTCCAGGAAGGAGTTAGGACATGGAGATTCTGGTCACATGACCAAACACTGTGTGGCAAACACTGGTATTTGACTATAAACCATGGCACCAAAAACACAGCGCAGCAGGGATGTGTGTGGGTCCACTTGTGCTGCTACACAAAGCACCTGGGCCTGAGTAATTAATAAACAATAGAAATTTACATCGTACAGCTCCGCATGATACTGCGTCCTCATGTGGCAGAAGGCAGAAGGGCAAGCGAGACAGGTCCTCTCAGCCACACCTTTCTGTAAGGTCACCTCATCCCACTAGGAAAGGAGCCCTCTCGGTCTAATCCCTCTCCAAGTCTCCTCCTCTTGGTGCCATCACAATGGTGAAGCCTAGATTTTGAGCAGACACATTCAAACCATAGCAGGACTTTTGCATGGCAAGGGCAACACATTCAACAGCCATGTTCTCAGTAGAGAATAATCCTTTCTTTAGATCCCGTTAGCTTATTCTGGTGATCAACTGCAAATGAAGTCATCAGTCTTGAGCCACCCTCTCCTTACCTAGAGAAAAACATAACAAGCCTCATCCCTTTAAGAAGAAATGTCATTCATGAAGCTCTTCTAGAGTGATTGAGAAAAACTCACAGGTAAGCAGCAGTTAAAAGGCTTAACTGTCCTCCCTTGAAGTTATAACAATTCCTGGAAAAATCTTCCTGCCAGTGGAGGTGGTAAATCCCAGGTGAGGGACATCATAGGTGCCAGCCTGTCACTCCCCACCTACCCTGGCCTGCCTTCATGCCAGGCCCTCGGCACAAGCCCCTGCTCTTGCTGTGGTGCTCAGACATGCCAGGTACTCTCTGTAGAAAGGATCCTGCACACACGACTCCCATGCGTCGTTTCCCTCTGAGCACGCATCTTAAACAGTCCTTGTTCAGAGCAGCATTTCCTCTCCCTGCCTTCCTAGTGCATATCTTCTGTGTGCATCTTCCTCCGAGCACTTAGTTTAAAGCATTACTAGCTTACTCATGTGATTTTGTGTTTAAGGTCCGTTGCTTCCTTAGGATAGGGACAACCCCACCGGTTGTCCTACATGGGCCTACACAAAGTCTGGCACGCAACATCTGCTTGCTGATTTACTGAGTTCAAACCACAGCCAATAAAATGAAATTGTTTTTCTTTTTTGAGGGCAATTCTGACACATGCATTTTTCCTTGCAAGTTCATGCATGTATGACAGCTTGTTGATTTTCTAAATAATTGTTTAACATTTTACTTGGAACAAATTTCAAACTCAAAAGAAGTTTCAAGAATAAAAACAGTACATAAAAAATTAGAATATTCTTTACCCTGACTCACTGATTTTTTTTTTTTGGTACCGGGGATCATTTGTGTATTAAGAATCAGCTATTTGAGGATTTTGGTTTCTCCATCAAAAGATAACTTACACACCAAACACATGGGAAAAAGATAGATTATTCAGAGACAGAAAGGGAAAATACGAGTACATTTGAGTTTCAAGCTTCCATAATTTAAAATGTGGAGGAGTATATTTGAAAGAACTGAGTATGTATTTGAGCTCACAAAGCTCCATCACTGCATCCAAAGGTGTCCTATAAGCATTGTGCTGACACTGATGCTACCCACATATTTTATTCCGAATGTCCCATTTATAAACAGAGGTTATAGCTGTGCAAAGCACAGTGCGTTAATGACATAAAGAGATGGTGAAGACTCCTCACCAGTACTTTGTGAGTTCATCCTGTCTTTCAGCAGCACATCTCCAAGAATTTGACGATAAAATACCAACAAGTGAGAACAGCTCATACTTCCAATCAATGTTTCTGGCAGGAGACTATTACAGAAGAAAAAATGTATTCAGTGAGCAATTCCCTCCAACCCTACCTACAGTGCTTTCTAAAACTGTATTACTTTAGTGAACAGTTCCAAGTTTTGTTTCATTATTGGGAAACATTTTAACAATTGAAAGGAGAATTTCCACTAAGGTGGCCACAGTAAGCTTCACATATATATTCTTTTTCTTTTCTTTTTTTTGGTACTGGGGATCCAACTCAGGACCTTGTGCTTGCAAAGCAGGCACAGTGCCACTGAGCTAAATCCCAGGCCCCATCAACCACATATATATTTGAGGTGTGTACTTTCATTTCAGCTGTGCTGTAATCCTTGTGCTTCCATTTTAGCATAAACACCCATGTTAAATGTCAAATAAAAAGAAAAGCCATGGATTACGTGTTTCAGAAAGAAAAGGACTAATGAGCCACCAGCTTGAACAAAGACATGCGGCTGCCATGCCTGATGCGGTGGGTGCCGAGGAAATGCCAGTGTGGCCTGCTCATGGCTGGGTGTGACGCTGGAGGGTGTCACAATGAAGGACACGTCCTGACGGTGTTATTTCCTAGCTGTGCGGCTCTGGACTAATTACCTACTCTCCTTGTACTTTCAGTTCCTCATTTGTAGAATGTGAAGAGTGTTATCTGCAGTTCACGTTAGTAAAAGGATTAAAATTAGGTAAGGGCAGTGCCTAAAGCAGTGCCTGGTATATAGTAAGGACACAAAAATGGAAAAAAATTCAATATTGAAGTTGCTATCAGTTTAGATTATGATAATTTTGGGATGTGCTATGTAATACCCATGGTAACCACAAATAAAATATCTACAGAACATACACAAAAGGAAATGGAAAGGGAACAAAAATGTGTCACTGTAAAAAGTCAATCACAAAGGAAAGTAATAGGGAGGAAATGAAGGACACAAAAAGCTATAAAGCATAAAAGAACACAAGTAACAAAGTGCTGAAAGTAAGACCTTCCCTATTGGAAATTACTTTAAATGTAAATGAATTAAAACTCCAATCAAAAGATAAAAATGGGAAGGATAAAAAATAAAATTCCACTAGATGCTTTCTATAAGAGACTCTAAATATAGGACATTCATAAGTTACTTCATCAAAGAGACTTACACTTTTATGTTAACCTTTAATTTTAATTTCTAGAAAATCTTAGAAGGAAAAATGATGAGAGGGATCGCTCAGACCTCCAGCTGGTTAGAAGAGAACAGACAGAACATGCCCACTGTGCTGGTGTAAAGGTGATGGGCTCCGTGGGTCGTCAGTGTCTGGGATGTAGGTTAAGTGTCCTCCACCACACCCTGCATTTCTACAAACACTAAAAGTAGAGGACAGCTCTCCTACCACATTTGTATCAAATATACTGTGGGCACAGAGACCCAGAAATCCAGAAATCATCTTTTTCTAGCGCTGTCAAAATTCCAACTGAGATTTCAAAGACTGGCTGCAGGGGACCAGCTTGCTTCCCTGATGCCACCACATGCCTTGTCGGGGTTCGTGCTGCGACTCCTGAGGGCTGTTCTACACCTGCCTCTGGTCCCCAGCCCACCCAGGCAGTCTTCCTGCCAGACACAGGGCTCATGGTGAACAGCCACTGACTTTGCCAGGGGAAGGGAAGGGCCTTCCTTCCTCCCATTTGGCCTTTTCTCCATGACTGGAAGGCACCAATTTGGACACAGTGAGGGCACTCCTTTCCTTCTGGCCCTTTCCCACCACATGATGCAATGTGGCTTCACTTTTTAAAAAGATTTCCTTCAGAGAAATCTCCTGTTTTTCCAAGCCCAAGATGACCAGAAAGTTCCAGGCTATTAAAGGTTTGCTGAGCTGAAGAAGTAAAAAGCTACCCCTCTCTGACAGTACCAGCTCTGCTGGCAGAAGTGGGACGGATGGAACAACTGGGCCTGTCAAGTAATACTCTTGGTTTATTAGTTTTTAGCAACAATATAATGGAGGAACAAAAGAGAAAAGATGGAATGGATTGAAAAGGCAAGGAAAATAAATTCATAGCAAATTCATACATAGGTACCCATAACCTACTCCACAGCTCGGTGTTTCTTGGCATTCAGAATTCACAGAATCTAAATTTGGACCTTTCCCTCAACAGGGACTTGGAAGCAGGCCTTGGTCAAATCACACTGGTTAAACCCCTTTGGAAAACAGCTCCAAAATTAGAAAGACAAGTTTTGGTGAAGCAGAAGCATCTATCTGCTTCCGGTCAAGGAGACAGGGTCACCATGATCACAACCGACTCCACAAAAAGAGACTGCTGGGCCCCAAGGGCAAGACCTGGGGCTCTTTCCTGTTAGAAGAGACAGGTATGCACTGGCTTGTTCACATTTTCACAGGTTTCCTGCCATCCAAAGGGCCCACACATGTGAGGCTGCTGGCTGGTGAGGATTGCCTAAAGCCGAGCAGCAAGGATACTGGGAAAAGGGGCCTGACCCAAACTAACTGGGCTCTCTGCCCTTGGCCTGCTCCACTGGTGTATCCTTAGCACAACAGACAAAACCTCCTATTCTTCCTCCTTGGACTAGACAAGTTTGGCCAAGCAAAGGTGAAGTGGGGCTTGAGGTGGGGTGCACCTTGGAAGAAGGAGAGGGCTGTGGTGTCATTACCTGCATTCTTCCATGCATTTTGAGGTGGCAGGCCAGGGGAAGGGAGGATGTCAGGTGCAAAGGCTCAGAGGTGCAAGGTCCTAACATTCACCTGCAGGTGCTCAGCCTCTCACACATACCATGGCCCACACCCCAAAGCCACGTTACAGGGCCCAGGGCCTCTGGTTCCACCATGGCCTGGCCTAGTTTCTCTGAGAGGGCAGCCTATGCCTGGGTCACACCAGCAGGGTGCTCCAGTCTATACCTGATATTCTCAGGACGCACCTTTAGTGGAGAGGCACTTCCAAGATAGCTGCAAGACTGTGGGCCCGGGAAGAGAGAAGAGCACACACCAGATGGGCTGGGGAGGTCAGGTGCATGTGTACACCAGTAGGAAGAGCCCCACTTGGAAATAACTTCACAAACATTTACTGGGCACCTACTGTGTTCTGTAATCAAACAAGTGCCTCCATCCCTGAGTGCTGGAGGACAAGGTCTTGGAACCCTTCTTTCAAATCCAGCACATGCAAGGAGGTTCCTGGAACATTCAGAAGAATGGGCTGCCTTCCTGACCTCTGTGCTATGCAGCCCAATTTGATTTCAAGATTGTAAAAAGTATCCAAGAACTGGCATGTGGAGCCAAAGACATGGCATTAAGAGCTGTCCTTGACAGACATGCTTGGCAGTGTCCTGGATTCTCAGAGGTGAGCGGTGGGGCAGCCTGAGAAGTGGAAGAATGAAGTCAAATGTGGTTTTTCTCTTACAAAGACAGCCACTGTGCTGGGTTTTCATCTTGAAAAAGAACACTTTTCCAAGGAAAGATCTGCCAAAAAAGGGAATTTACAGGCTCTAAGAACATCCAGGAAAGACAAAAAAAAAAAAAAAAAAAGCCAAGAGAGTAACTAATACCTAGGAGCACATTATTAATGGTTACTGAAAGATTTAACTGTTAGTAGTGTAATTATAAGATGCACCTCAGTATTAGAGGTAAGAACAAGGGATATTTAACCTCAAGATCTGGAATGACCAAAGCAACCACTCAGAGGGGTGCACCAAGACTTCTTTCCCTACTTCTTGGTAATCTGTGGGTAGCAGCAGGCCCTGGAAGGACCTTCCCTACATCCAGCTCAGCCATGCTCGGCCTCCGCCCTGTCCCTGGGGCACTGTGGGAAGTTGCTTTCCTCTCCATCCTCCCAATCCTGCAAAGTCTGCTTCTACTCCTCCCTGACCCCATCAGTTGAACATAACATCTTCATTAAACAGATTTTACAATACAGCACCATCTATCTACCTGGCATTATATTTACATTTATTGTTATATATAAAATAATTCTTTTTTATATGTAAAATAATTCTAATAGTACATAATGATGGTTAACACTAGTGCTTTGCTGAGTGCCATGAATAATCAATACGAGGTAAGTGTTTTATATGCTTTCTTTCTATTAAATTTTGTTACAGTTTTATGGGGTTTATATTGATATACCTATTTTTTTCAGAATAGTCTTACTATCATAATGGTGGTACATAAATCACTTTTAGCTCTAGTGTAAAAATTAAAAGAAAAAATATTTAAAATAGCTGCAATAAATTTTAACATACAAAATACAAAGTTGTAAATTTTAATGTCAATAACATAAATGTGGAGGAAATAAAAAGAAATAAAAGGCACTCAAATTGCAGAGTAAGAATAATTGTCTGTTTTTGGATGACATGGTCTTATAAATCCATTCTGAAGGTTGAGAGATGGTTAAAAGTCTAAAGGGCACTGAGTGAGAAATTGGTAAATCTGTGATTCCACTCATATAAATGCTTCTTGGAGAAAGCATAAATTAAACCCACCATGGGAAACCACTACTCACTTTAAAATATGGCTAGAAGAGAAAAAACTGAGAATGCAAAGTGCTGTGAAGAATATGGAGTAAAGGAAACTCACATACTGTTAGTGTGAATGGCACAGGCATTTTGGAAAAGTTAGGTAGCTTGTTATAAAGTTAAACCAAAACCAGATGACCCAGCAATCCCACTCCAAGGTTATTTCTACCCATGAGAAATGGAGGCAGACGTCCACACCCAGGAAACTGTATGCAAGCTGGGCATGGTGGTGCATGCCTGTCTTCCCGCACTCTGGGACGCTGAAGCAAAAGGATCATAAGTTTGGGCCCAGCCTGGGGAATCAGTAACTTAGGGAGACCCTGTCTCAAAATCTCAGTATTAAAAATTAAAAAGAAGGCTGAGGATGTAGCTCAGTGTGAAGGCCTTGGGTTTAATCCCCAGTACTGGGGGAAAAAATCTTATATGCATGTGCTTAAGAGCCCTTTATTCATAATTACCCAAACTAGACACAATCCAACAACCTAGAGAATGGATAACAAACCATTATATTCACAAGATGTAATACTACCTAGAAAGAAAAGGAACAAACTAATATGTGCAGCAGCCTGGATGAACCTCCACTGCATCATGCTGAGTGAAAGAAGCCAAATTCAAAGGCCACTGCTACATGATTCCATTTATGAGAGTCTGGAAAAGGAAAACTGTTGGGAAATAAAATAGGTGAGTGGCTGCCTGAGGCTGGGTGGCTGGGGGCTGACTATCAAGAGATGTGAGTTAGGTTTTTAGAGCAAGGAAACTATTCTGTATCCTAATTGTGGTCGTTCTTACATGATCATATACATCTGTCAAAACTCAAAGAACTGTACACTAAAAAGGGTATATCTTACTGCATGTAAATTAAATCTCAGTACACCTGCCAATAAAAAAAAGTTCCCTGAAGATTATACACTGATAAGCCCCATTTATTCAAAAGTGTCTAAATTATGTATAACCAAATCTATCACTTGAGCTAACTAGTAAATAGAGTAAGTGAATATATGCTGTATTATTATTCCATTTCCTTACTGATGTTTGTTTTGTTTTGGTTTTTTGAGACAGGGTTTCCCTATGTAGTTCAGGCTGGCTTTGAACTCATTACATAGCCCACAATAGCCTTGAACTCTAGGAGAGTCTCAATTACAGGTATGCACCTCCAGGCTTAGCTCCCTACTGATCTTTGGCAGAAGAATTAATGAGGAACAAAACAACTGATAAAAGACTTAGTACACTAAGCAGGAGGAGAAGCCAGAAGCAGCAGTGGGCTACAAATGCTCCCAAGTGCACGGGAGAGGCGAGCAGGTACCAACCTTAGCATGTTTCTTGTTCTTTGGTTCAGAGACCTCAGTTTTATCAGAAGTTGAGGCTGCCTTCTCATGGTCAGCATCTGATGGAAAACACTGCTGTGTGCTGTAAAAATAAATCAAAGATAAACCTAAGAAGTTTTAGTGTTTGGGATAGAGCATAATAAACCAGGTGTTTGAAGAGAATGTACCACCAGTGTGCTACAGTGTATGACAGGCAAGAGTCCCCTCGTGCTCTCAGGGAGCTGAGGGACAAAGACTGATGTTAATGCCTATGGACCCAGAAAGGGACTGGAGTGGCCACTTCACCAGATGTGGCACAGTGTCACTGCTGCCAGCTTACCAAGGGGGAAAGCAGGAGTTTAAAGAGCACACGTGGCTCCAGGTACAACCAACTGCATACCAGACCCCAAACTCCTTCCTGTTCCAAGCAGCTGGGATCCCAGCCCTGTGGGGACAGCAGCAGTGGTGATGTCCTGATCACCAAGGACAGGAATGTTGAGGAATGCAAGGGAAGCTCCATGAGGCAAGGACCACAGCCATCTTACCTTTCATCTCCCCATCCCCAGCACACTGCCTGGCCAATAGCCATAGTACAAGGTGGTCAACTTCCCAGGGGCAGTGTGGCCATGCTCTCACAGTGCGGCCACATCTACACCCTTTGACCTGGCAACAGGGAAGCTCTGAACCAGCCTGTCCTATCTTTAAAAGCGTGAATCCAAGTGAAGAATGCTATGGAAGCTACCACCTTGGATGAACCTGTGATGTGTACAGGCTTTACAGAAAGGGAAGCAAGACTTAAGAGCTGTACCTCTCCTGGACACAGAAGGGTCCACTTCCACGCCTTTCTCGTAGGGAGTCCCACCGTTCAACAAGAGCTCGTAAGTTCTAGAAAAGGAAAACCTGCTATGGTGGGTATGCTTCATGGGGATTTTGTGAACACTGGAATCAGCAGTAAGATATATTTTAGCAGATATTTATAGACATGATATTGATGTCTCAGTGACAAAGGGAGATAGCAGTGGGTCCCTATTAGGCACCATCTAGGTCAACAGTCTCTTTCCTCAGTACAAACTGCAGAGAATATGGTTTGTTTTTACATAAAAGAGAAAAAGATTAATTGACATTATTTGATGTTAATGACAATTAACAACTGCTTTGAATATATTTTCAAGTGAATTGAATCATTATTGGAAACAAAGCCATTATGAATCTCTATTGTTTCTAAAATTTAAAAGTGATGTGTATAGTGTTATTAAAATTTAGATGGCAAAGAAATCCCTCCCCATCTTTCCTTCCTACTTTGGTACATCTCCTGCTCTATCTTTTTCTATGCAAAGGCAAACAAATATACAGGATAAACACAGTGAATTTCAAAGCTAACTCATGCTCCCCACCAACCCCGGTCCTGGGCATCTAAAGCAGTGCTTCCTGTAAAAACTACCACTGCACCACACCCGAAGCCCCACATGCTTCTGTTTTCAAGTTGCACACTATTAAGTGCAGAAAGTTGAAAAAGGCCCCTTTAGGGCTGGTGATTTAGCTTTGTAGTGCCACTGCCTGCCTCGCAAGCACAAGGTCCTTATTTCGATCCCCAGTACCAAAAAACAACAACAAAAGGCCCCTTTAATCCAACCACACCAGGGCCCAAATTCTGGTCCAGTTTACCCACACCCACCCACAGAAGCTAACAGATAGTTTCTAGTGAACAGAAGTGGAGCTGCAGTATTCAGGCTGTTCTGTGCTTACATTTTGTATGCTACACCCTGGAAGCATTTCTATATTAGTATACACTGCTCTACTTCACTTAAAAAATGCATATGATTTCACTTTTAGAAATATGGAGATGTATTTTCCTTATTTCTCCCAGTAAGTACCACTAAAAGCCCCCTGAACATGTTCTCTAAACAAGCCACAAGAAACCTTGGTTTCTACATCCACCCACGCAAATGGGGCACCCCTCCCACTCCTATCCATGGGGTAACCCTGAGACAAGAAGCAGTCAGGACTTTTACCTTTGCATGTTGGTAAGGAGGCCACATATGGAGTGCTATTGAAATTGATTCTCCTAATGAGCCTTTGGGATCAGAATCACCTCCCCCCATTAAAGATAGCTTATGTTCAGGACTTAAAACATTACAGACCACAGCCTTGAACTTTAAAATTTCAAACTTGGGATCTTGCTTACTATCCACTGCCTGCCCGCCCACCTATGTCTCCTCTGTGAATTTCCTGTTTAAATCCTAGACTTAGAGCTTTATTTCCCCCATTTAGAAATTCAGATGATCCTGAGGTCCTACAGGTGGGACATGGAGTCCGTAGTAGCAAACTGTAAACATATTTAAACTTTAGGAGCAAAAGGCAGACTGGAAGCAAATATTTGTGTTAAGAATTCTGTTGTTCCTCAGGACCCTGGGCTTAGCTTTTCCACTCTGTGAAGAGTAGGCTGCATTGGCAGCTCAGGGAAATGTGCCAGCACATAGAAAATTACTGACAGGGCATTCTCAGCAGCCAGCCAGTGCAAACATCTCTAAAACACCGACTCTATGTGTCATTTCCTCCTCCCCAGGGTGAGACTGTGCGGGATGGCCTAATAAGGTACCTTAAACAACATTCAAGTCAACACTGAAAGCTCTTCCCCCAAAACTTGTTGAAATGCTAAGAGAACCAACCTGAGGCACACAGACCCTAAGAAATGAACTTGTACAAAATTGCTTGTTGGCAAGGAACACACAGCCCACTTACTTGGCTGGAATAGGAACACCGCTGGCATCGAACAGCTTCAGAAATGCCCAGCCACAACTTAACTCTCCTCGTTCACCAGTTGACTACAAAGTAAAACAAGTATGTGACTTGGTGTCTGCACCAGTCAGATGGAGAAGCACACACCAAGTCCTCTGCAAGGGACAAAACACGTGTTCACCAATAGTTTTAAGCAGGTCTTCCCCAGAAAATACAGCGAGACCTAACAGATGTCCACCTCATTTGCAGGCCAGATGTTAAAGACGGTACTTCAAGTGACAAACGTGTTTTGTTGAAATCGCTCTTGAAAAATCCTTAAACCTGATGAGGTGGCCAGAGCTGCTCTTGGGTGTTGAGTGCTATAAACCTTTTGTGAACTTCTCTCAAATCACACTGATACCACTTGGTTTCACTGCCAGGTAAAATGCAGAATTGGTCACTCAAGGGCTTTTCTGCTCAGAAGTTTATCCCCACTGTCAACTGGCAAAGGCCACTGGGGCTTGAGGACCTGCTCCTTCCCCATCCTACCTATTTGCAATACACATGCATGAATTTGTCTTAAAGAACTGTAGTGGTAATATAGCACCACTAATATAACCTCTCTGTGATGACTCTCTGGGTTACTGGGGGCCAAGTCGTTTATTATTTTTATTATTAATCTTATTATTATTATTGAGACAGGGTCTGACTGTGTAGTTCAGGCTGGCCTCGAACTGCACTGATCCTCCTGCCTCAGCCTCCTAAGTGCTGGAATTACAGGTGTGAGCCATGGTGCCCAGTCAATTTTGCATATAGTTTTTTTTTTT